CTTAGAACTGAAGAAGCTTCTCGGATGAGAGGTGAAACGTCTTCAAGCAACTTAAAGAAGTCCAGACGCTTTTCTTTGCAAGCTCCTTTGACTGGATGTAGGCTTATTTTTTTGGCTAGTTTAATGTAGACAGCATGTTTGTTTTTCTGTTGTTTTGTGAACAGACGAAGAAAATGTACAGGAACTGTGGATCTGTTGAATTGGCAGCAGTGTATGATTATACTGAAATCTGATGTGAATGTGTTTTTCCTCTCAGCTGGAGAATTTGATGCTGGACAAAGACGGACACATTAAAATAACTGATTTTGGCCTTTGTAAAGAGGGCATTACTCCAGATGCAACAATGAAAACCTTTTGTGGAACACCTGAATATCTGGCTCCTGAGGTAAGGCACTGTCTGGTGACACATTTTAAACACACCTGTGTTGTCAAGCTTGTTTAATAGCTTGTTTAATATCATAGTTTGGTCCCCTGTCTCTAGATTTGCTGCAACTGTAAATCTATTACTCATATTTTATGTGCATAAGAAGCTGTCTTGGTTGAGCCATGTAAAGTGTTCTGTTTTTGTTTGTTTTTCCTGTGTACAGTAAAACAAGGTACGTGTGAGTTGATATGTTGACCAATGTCCAATATCACTAAGAATCATGCTACACCCAAGACACCCAATCACCCAAGTTTGTGAACTTGGGAATGAGGTGATGTAGAAGTTTCATGCCATACCATAATCTCAGACTAGTTCAAATCTCAGTGATCTTGACCTCAAGGTCAGAGGTCACGTTTCCTGAAAATGTTGTCCATGCGACAACTTGAGCACAAGGCAACACAGGATTTCCAAATTGTGTCAAGAGGAGTACCACTGGCCACCACCAGTTGGTTTTTTATTTATTTATTTATTTATTTTCCATTATAAATGCCAATACTGTTATACTGGCAAATAGCTCGGACTACAAGACTCAACAGTCTCAAGACTCAACAGTCTTGATGGTAAAACAGCTTTTACCATCAAGCCATTCAACACCTCAACTACAACACTTGAATACCGACACCACACTTCACAGGATGCACACAGAAGCTGTCCTAAAGTTTCTCAAGAACATACTACACTCTGCACTGGTCACTTCATTCTTATTAGTATTTAAATAAAAATAAAAACCCTTACTTCGTCCAATACTGTAATAACTGCAACTCTAAAATCTTGTACTGCTCAGTTTGTACTACTGCTCACTCCTGCCACTTTATCCCATGTGCAATATCCCATTACCCCCATTTCAATGGTCACATTTCTATTTAAGATTTTTTTATTTATACATTTGTGTATATATTTATATATATTTAGTCTGTTAATATTTGTAATATTTTTACTGTATTATACTGCTGAGTGACTTGTCTTCTGCATGTCTAACACATTTCATTGGAATGTTGACCCTGTGCTAGCTTGCATATGACAATTAAAACTGAAATTGAACTGAAACTGACTTATATTGGGCTCTACTATAGACAGATGGGCCACACCAGCAGAAGACCACATTGAGGCCACAGTTTGCATGGAATTAACAAATTAGACAGTAGAAGATTAGAAAAACATTGTGTAGTCTGAGTTTCAATTTCTGGTGAATTTTAGCTGATATGGTTCCTTTTATCAGCTCACTGATATACACTGATATTATATCAGGCACAATTGGGACCCCTTAGTACCAGTTAAGCATGGTTTAAATGGCAGCTCCATTTAAATATGCAGATCACTTATTTAAAGAGTAGGAAGAAAATGATGCATTTGATTTTTTTACACACTTAAGAGAAAAGATTAGCCCTGCTCTTTCAAACAAAAGGGGTGATGTAAAAGATGACTGGTAAGAAGTTTGAACAGAAAAAGAAGAAAAAACATATAAAGAAGAAATATTTTTGACTCACAAAAGTGTGCCATTATTTGCACCAAATGCTATGGTGTGCCAATTCAGAGTTATGGCTTTTTACTGCTGTTGAGAAATCGGTCTCTTCTTCCTCAGGTCCTAGAAGATAATGACTACGGCCGCGCAGTGGACTGGTGGGGTCTCGGTGTAGTTATGTATGAAATGATGTGTGGCCGATTGCCTTTCTATAACCAAGACCACGAGCGCTTATTTGAGCTCATCCTAATGGAGGAGATCCGCTTTCCTCGGAACCTCTCACCTGAGGCCAAGTCCCTGCTGGCTGGCCTGCTCAAGAAGGATCCCAAGCACAGGTATTAGCCCAAACTACTACTCTGTGTGGATTGTATTAAAAATGCCTAGTTTACTCTCAAATAATCTCATTTGGACTGACAGGTTAGGAGGAGGTCCCAGTGATGCCAAAGAAGTAATGACTCACAAATTTTTTATCACCATCAACTGGCATGATGTGGAACAGAGAAAGGTGGGGCTTTCTTTTTTTTTAACAACTTATTTCTATTTATCAAGCGCAGTCAGACAGTCCAATCAGTCATGTCTTCATTTAACAGGAACAGCAGTTACAAGTGAGTCAAAAATTAAACGATGGATTCTGGCATTCTTGCAGTGTAGCATTCTTGTTGCTCCATAGCAACATGACATGAGAGAAATAAAAAGTAACCAAATTAATAATAACATTCATGAGGAATCCCAACACTCACCAGATGTACTATAAAGTAACCACATTTTTCACACACACTTGAATTTGGGTGAGGTGGAGTGACAAGCTCCTTACACTACGATGACGGTGGATGGCTGGGAACCTTCACAGACAGGGATTTTAGATGTTCTCAAATTTTGATAAATGGTAAATGTCCATGGAAAGTAGCCATCAGGCCAATCCACATGTGATAGATTCCATTGATATTAGGTTCTTTTGGTAGTGCAAAGTGTTGCTTTTTTCACCAACAACCTTTTGAATTGCAACCAAAAAGTTTGGCCTACTCATCAGGCCATATCAGAGGTTTCCTCATGCTTGTGGAATACTTGATGTATATTTTGCAAATTTTTGCCAGATTTCAATGTTTTTCTTTGTCAGGAAAGGCTTCCATCTTGCAACCCTACTCCATAGTCAAGGCAAATGTAGAATATGGGAGATTGTTTTCACATTTTTAGTTGCAGAAATGTCTTAAATACATAAGGACCTGGATGACTTCTAATTTCCTACCTCACCTCTGTGCTTGTCAGTGCAGCATTTAATATTTTGGACACTAAGATTTTATTACAGAGATGAGAGCATGCCGTAGTTAGAGAATGTAGTACGCTGCAGTGGTTTTAATCAAATGTATTTAATAGACTCCAATTTTTTCATGTAAATGAAGATTGTTCTGTACTTGCAAAGGCTAATCATAGAATTCCAGAGTGTTTCATGCTACGATTAATTCTGTTTACATTATATATGCCTCTCTTAGGCAGTGTCATTCAAAGGCATACGATACATTTTCATTGCTACGCAGCTGATACCCACTGACACACCAATTCGTTAAACTGTTTAAGATAATAAATGTCCTGCGTCTAAATTCTGATTCATTGGTCCTAAAAATCTTGGAAACACAGTGTCTAACCAGATGCATACTTTGGAAGCCATTACCTAGGCCTCCAGTAATACGGTGAGGAATCTTGGAGTTGTTTTTGACCAGGATATGTTCTTCATTAAACAAATATGTAGAACTGCTTACTTGATTTTGTGCAGTATCTTTAAAATTAAAAATATTATTTCTGATCTTGTCCTGAAAATGCATTAATGCATTTATTACTTCTAAGCTGGACTATTGAAATTCATTATCAGGTTGTCATAAAAACTCTTTGAAATGCCTTCTGTTGATCCAAAATGCTCCAGTTGGAGTACCACCAGGTACTAGAATGAGACAGCATATTCCTCCCATACTGACTTCACTTCATTGGCTCCATGTTAAATTCAAAGTAAAATTTAAAATCCTTCTCCTCACATACAAGTTCTTAAATATTTAGGCCCCATCTTTTCTTAAAGAACTCATAGTACCCTATCACCATAATAATAGAGCACTTTGCTCTCAAATTCAAAATTCAAATTCAAATTTTATTTGTCACGTACACAGTCATACACAGTACGATATGTAGTGAAATGCTTGGACAACTGCTCGTGACCTAAAGAAAACAAAAAAGGAAAAGGCTATGAATAAGATAGGAAATAAATATGAAAAATTAAAAAGGGTAAATTTAACTAGGAAGGAAATAAAATATAAATTAAAGTTGAAAATAAAATAACTGTACAACAAAATACACAATATAGAACTATATAAGAATGTATGAAGAAATCTAAATATAAATAAATATATACACAATAACAGCAGCTGTACAAGTATTAACCGGAAATGAAGAATATAGTGACCAGTGTTGTGCAAAAACAAAGTCCAGAAAGTCCAGTGTGTGTGTAAGAACCATATGTGTGGGTCAGTACTGTGTGGTGGTGTGATTGAGAGACCGTATCGCCTGCGGGAAGAAGCTCCTCCTCAGTCTCTCTGTGTTGGTCTTCAGGGAGCGGAATCGCTTTCCTGACCTCAACAGAGAGAACAGTCTGTTGTTGGGATGGCTGAGGTCCTTCACGATCTTCCTGGCCTTGGTCCAGCACCGCCTGCTGTAGATTGAGTGCAGGTCAGGGAGCTCGGAGCGGATGGTGCGCTCAGCTGACCGCACAACCCTCTGTAGAGCTCGTCTGTCCTGCATGGTGCTGTTCCCGAACCAGGTTAAGATGTTTCCCGCCAGGATGCTCTCTATGGTGCACGAGTAAAAGTTCCTGAGCACCTTGGAGGGCAGTTGGAAGTAGAGATGGACCGATCCGATATTACGTATCGGTATCGGTCCGATACTGACCTAAATTACTGGATCGGATATCGGAGAAAAATAAAAAATGTAATCCGATCCATTAAATATCACGAAAGCACCTCACAAAACTTGCAACACGCCGTAACTCACCTCAGAACGTTAGCACGTCGGAGCAGTATGCATCACGTGATAGAGCGGCTGTGGCATGCGGGACCTGTCGGTGGTCTGGATAGCATTTGGAGCTTCGCTAGCAACCCGGCATTTCATCTCCGACAAAGTTATCCCCGAGAGAAGTAAAGCAAGTGTGTAAGTCCATCTCTGAATGTTTGTAAAGCATTCCTGCGTTAAGCTTAACAAATATATGGAGCGACTGCCTCTTCTTGCTGCTACTTCAATCATGAAACTGCTTAATGATCAGCTGATCGGCTTTTCTGTCGCGAGTCCGTCTCTCTTGTTTGTTTTTGGCCCACTTTGCACCAGAAAGAGGAAACCAGCGGCTGAACAACAGCAGCACGTTTAAGCTTGATAAGCTGTTGTTAGAATTTATTTAATATTACTTTCTACACCAGGATCTTTTTCTACGTAGCTGACGGCTGGTAACTGTGCAGGGGCGGATCTAGCAAAGTTTAGCCAGGGGGGCCGATAGGGCATTAACAGGGAAAAGGGGGCACAAAGACATACTTTTCTTTCTTATTCTCATTTAAAATGTCTAGCTTTTAATAAATAATTATCTGACACCCAAAGTTTTAATTTGATGTAAAATGAATAGAAGTCAATTACTGTATATAGTGACTATTAAGTCTAATATATATACCCTAGTAAGCTATAGTACTTTTTCCTTTGGGAAGGTACCATCTGTGCAGTCTGCAATTTTGTTGAAGAAAGATGTTGAATCTATTTAATATTTCTTGAAAAATAATTGATTTCTGTGCATTTTTTTTCACACTGCATCAAATTAAGGTTGATTACATCGATTAAGCATCATGAGGTGGAGCGTGAGGGGTGGTTCCCTATTTTTTATTTATTTATTTTTGTTGTTGCTGGGAGTTGGAACCCTATTAGTTAGGTTGCTTAATATTTACGCTAAGTACTCTTTAAAATACCAGAATAGGGAGGATGGTGTAGGTTTAAGTTTATTAGATTGATCAGTATTGCTGAACTATGAAATTTTTTTTTTGCATACAGGTATAACAGAATAGCTTTAGTGTAGTTGTTGTTTTAAACTTGAGTATGAACTTATACAAAATGCAGCAAGATATTTAAAAAACAGTTTTGTTGATTAAAAAACACTATATCGGATTCATATCGGTATCGGCAGATATCCAAATTTATGATATCGGTATCGGTATCGGACATAAAAAAGTGGTATCGTGCCATCTCTAATCTCAAGTTTAGAGGTCAAGTTTTCTGAAAATCTTGTGATTGTGATAACTTAAAAACAAAGCGACGCAGGATTTTGAAGTTGAGACCATAGGTGTATGTGCTACGAGGCTACCACTGGTGGTCGCCAGTATTGCTTAACATTATTGTGAGGCAACATGTTTCTAATTTTAGAGATATTGTGGAAATGCAAGAAACAGCCCTAAATATTTGTTTAATATGCACATTGAAGGATATATCGTAGTCAAAAACAACTCCAAGATTCCTTACAGTGTTACTGGAGGCCAAGGTAATGCCATCCAGGGTAAGTATCTGGTTACACATCATATTTCTAAGATTTTTAGGGCCAAAGACAAGAACTTTAGGTTTGTCTGAATTAGAGGTCATCTAGGTTTTTACACAGTAACTTTAATAACTACAGCATGCTCTGATCTGTGTAACAAATATTGAATGCTGCATCAAGATAAGCACAGAGATGAGGCCATAAGATGATCATTTGTAACCTTCGTTAACCCTGCTTTTGTACTGTGATAAACTCAGATTTAAAACTCTCCAAATAAACCATTCCTCTACAGATAATTAGTTAGCTGTTTCACAGCTACTCGTTCAAAACCTTTTGAGATAAACAGCCTATAATTAGTTAAGACAGCTGGGTCAAGTAGTGGCTTTTTACCCCATTGCCGCAAAAGGGTATTGGGGTAATGTCATCACCTCACTGGGCAGGTCGGCAGGCTGGTAGCATGTACACCCAAGTTTGTGAATATGATAACTCAAGACCGAAGTGATGTAGGAATTTTAAATGGGTACACTAGGTATGAGTTATGCCAACTGCATTGTAGACCCTCCTCTACATGCATGTTATAAATCCAGCATGTTACCAAGTGATATCTGTCTCTTCCAATCCCTGGTACAGCTGACCCCCCTCTTCAAACCGCAAGTAACATCAGAGACAGATACCAGGTACTTTGATGAGGAGTTCACAGCACAAACAATCACACTCACTCCCCCAAACAAGTGTAAGTATCTTCTTGTTGGACCCGTCAGCACTGATCCATCATTATTCAAAGTTAATATCACGTTTCTTGGTCACTGACTTAGATTGCCTTCTTGTTACAGATAACAGTCTGGACTGTGAGGACCCCAGCCAAGAAGCTCATTTCCCCCAATTCTCCTATTCTGCTAGCATAAGAGAGTGATAGCATCTCTGCCACACACACACACACGTGTATAAACACCTTGGTTACAATCATACAGCCATAAAAATAAGTAGAGCTTTCATTTTTAAAGAGGTGTTACTCTTAGCACGATTTCAGTGCCTTGCCTGGGAGCCTTATTGTTAAAATCTGTCTTTGTCCACAGAAAGGAAAAAGCCTATCCACAGTGGCTATACTGTAACATAAGAACTTCACATAGCCATCAGTGCAGTTTAACAACATAATCAAGACCATCAGACCTACAAAGATGGTGCTGCTGTTTGTACCATTCTTTTTTTCTTTTTTTTTATATTCTATGAATAAGCCATGCAACTCCCCATGACACTTGTAAGTCCTCTAATTCAATCCTGGCTGTGACCTTTGGTGAAATATATGAAGAAGGGAGGAGAGCAGCAGTTAATCTTACTATTACACCAAAAAATCCTGCATGTCTGTTTTTTGAACATTTTTTTCTTCTGTATTATTAGCTCATTGAGTATTAAGGAATAAATTATAATATTATACAAATGGAAGGATGTGTACTGAACTCAATCCTTGTACAAGCTAACTGCAAAAAATGGACATTTGTCACTTTTTATTACTTTGTGCTTTAGAATTTTGGTCTCCCATGTGTTAGATATTGTCTTTGTAGCCTTTATCATTTAGCATTTTTGGTCCCCCAGTACACAAGTTCACTTGCTGAACATTTTACATCAGAGATGTCAGACTCATTTTACATCGAGGGCCACATACAGCCCACTTTGATCATATGGGGACCATACAAGTGAAACTGCACTTCTTTTCAGCATAAATATATTTAACTGCACATTTAATCCCTGAGATATTTTAGTATACAATAAAGAAGTGTGTTTTCAACAGAACATCTCATTATTTCTGCATGATATTTATATTAAATTATAGAAAAGGTTCTGGTAGCTCACTGCCCAGACTGTCCCATATCTGTAAAACATAAATCATTTGTTTGTTGAAAATTTTTTTTTTTGGTTTGTTTAAAAATTTAGTAAAAAAAAAATGTTAAATATAAAACGTTTTGATGCATGCTCAGTATCCAGGTAAGTAAATCCCAAAAGGTTGATTCTGTTCATCTGTATGTAGTGTGTTCAGTGGGAGAAACGTTTCATCACTCATCCAAGTGACTTCTTCAGTCTCAGCTGACTCCAGGTTTCCCCAACCTTATAAACAGTACATTTGCACAATCACTGAAACTCGCCCACTAAATAAACAATGGGCTGTGAGGTCAGTTCCTTGATCTTTAATATGCAAATTTTCATGACCATTGATTAATGGCCATGAGTAACATTCACAGAGAGTTAGGGAATGCCTACAATCACAGCATTGTAAGATATGGAAAGATGTACGCTTAGGCCCCCTCTTCGATTCAAAGATGATCTTTCTATAGCACTTTCTAGTCTCTAATCTCACTGACCACTCAAAGCACTTTAGAATATAAGTCTCATTTTAACTACACATCTTACAACTAGTCATTTAGCATCAGATCCTTAATATGATAACTATCTGAGAGGCCTTTCAGAAGATGGGTAGAGATTATCACTCTGTGGATAATAGTTCAACAGAAATAAAAATTACATTTCTCAACAAAAAATTGCAAGGGCCGAGGCTCAGTCCCCAACACCCACAATGTCAAAGGTGCAGATAAAATTACTATTATAAAATGTTAAAATTGAGCAAGACAGACAGCAGTTAATGGGGCCACTGCAGCAACCTCACCACTAGGGTCTGGGTAATGCAACACCCAGCAAAACCACGTGACTGGCCTTACCCACTGCGACCTACGTGACCCCCCTACACCACAGGGGTGTGAGTGATGTGTGGTGGGCTGGGATCACAAGTTGTATGCCACAAATGTAAAAAAAAAAAAAAACATAATGAAATTTACTACATGTAGACATATTCAGTTCTTTATAACTCCGCAAACCTCAGTTCAATTATGTATTACAATTTCTCAAGTAACATAATTTGTTGGATGGCCATTTATCCAAGAATTATTTAGGATGTTGGGGTGCAACATCTTTACCAGGATTTTTCAAAGATGTAGTATAACATTTTCAGTAATTTAACCACATAGAGGCAGTCCACCAACTCAAAAAGCAATTCAAGTGGCATTATTCAACACAGGCATAAAAAATCAGACTGGCGCTTCATACTTCTAGACAAGAAGCAAACTGGTACAAGTTTTTGAATTCATACAAACCCTCCCTTTATTGTTCCATTCAAGTGTCCTACTGCAGGTTTTTGGCTGCTAATCTACTCTTTTACATCACTTCCACTTTCCCATACTACAAAACTGAATTCTGACATCATTGCTGTAGTCCAATTATTTTTCTGCCCACTTTCTTTAAGCAAGTCAGCCTCCACTCTGCATGCTTTAAATTGCACCACTGCTGTATTTCATTAGCCCTTGCAGACTCCAGTTGACCCATGGTGTGTGTGTGTGTGTTTTGTTTTGTTTTTTTGGTGGGGGGTCATTACATTGGATACTTTATTAGTTTTTTGTTTGTTTGTTTGCTTTTAGAAATTAAATCAAAATTAAATTTGTTACATTCCTCCAAAGTGCTCAGTGGTCGTGCGTTTGGTCTGGATTGATGAATAAGAGAGTATCTAAGTTGTATGTCAACTTTGAGATGATTGCCCCTTATGCATGCAGATTGATCTTCAGTAAACTACCTGAAGAAGCGTAATTAAATGCCCAAATGGTCAGAGTGGCAGCAATTAACTCATATCACGTTCAGAGGATGTAAGAATTACATACTCAGATAACACTGCATTTCTTTCTGCCATCTCTTTTGCAGAATGTCGGGGGGCGTGGCTTCGGTTTGCACACATGGGATTGTGAGGCTCACAGTTCTTTCCCCCAGCGAGAAACATGTTGCTGAGAAGAAGCCACGCCTCCATGAGCTGCCTCACATGTTGCCACACACATCCACTTCTCCTATGCTGCATTCAGGTTTTTTTGGGCTGTCAAAAAGCAGTGAGATTTCTGTTGTTACTTTCTGTTCTACACTAAGTGCACTGAGTGTTATTGCGCTGATTTAAAAGTTACATGACTGCATCATAAGTAATGATAACAATAAACAATGCCAAATGTAACTGGTGGGGCACTTTCCACCGGACCACACTCCACTTTTTTCTCCTTTTTTTCTTACAAACTTCCAGTATTGTTTGAAAAACATACAGTGTTGGGGAAACTAAATTGCAAGATACTACTTTATGGTGGATGATGCTTAATAACTGCAAAGCAGCTATAGGGAAAGATTTTATTTAACTAAAGCTCCTTAGTTAGAATGTTGAGTGTCAAGGTTGATTTGTAACAGAAGCAACAAGAGTGATAGGGAGCATTTACAGTATGGTAATGAGACCTGCTTTGGTGTATGGTTTGGAAATGGTGAAACTAACAAAAAAACATGGGGTGGAGGCCCCATCTTATCTTAATGACCTTCTAGTCACCCCATTAGAGCACTTTGCTCTAGCACTGCAGGCTTACTTATTTTCCCTAGAGTATTTAAAAGTAGAATGGGAGGGAAAGCCTTCAATTTTTAGGCCCCTCTTGTATGGAAGCAGCTTCCAGTTTGGATTTGGGAGACAGACACTATCTCTACTTTTAAGATTAGGCTTAAAAAGAAGATGATCACTGAGAAGGTTCAAGGATGTAGTGAAGGAGGACATGCAGATGGTTGGTGTGACAAGAGGCTTCTAGAGATACGCTGGTATTAAACCATATGACGATTGAAACACCTGCTGTGCTGATCCCTAAAGGGAGCAGCTGAAAGAAGGAAAAGAAGAAGGAAAAGCAGTTTGACTGCTGTGGTTGTCTAATGAATGTATCATCTGGACATGTTTTCAGAGCACCAGTGATGAAAGTGAAGGGAAGCACACCTGTCAAAAGAGGTTTCAGTAACAGCAAAGAATCAATTTCAAAATAGAAACCCTAAAAGTCCTTATTTTTCATGGTCAGTAGTAGGGCTGCTCAATTAATCGAATTTTAATCACGATTACGATCTGGGCTTTCAACGATCATTAAAAATGACTGAGCCGATTATTAGCCCCTCCCTCGTGCTTTACTCTCGCGCTGCTCCGTGTGGCAAATCGAGCGCACCTCTCTGCATTTCGAACACGTCACAACAATTAAGAGGACCCGAGGGAAGCTCGGAAAGCTAAGCAGAAGTTATTTGGAGAGGAGAGTGACTGCCGTTGGTTGAAAAGAGAGGTAAAAAAAACTTCAGTGGTGTGGAAACATTATGGGTTCGCGGAGTCAGACGTGGATCAAGTAGACATAGTGTGTAAACTTTGCTACAGTGTCGTAGCTGCACCACAGAGCAACACTGCAAAGTTCACTAAACATAGATGTTTACATTTTTCATTTATTTTTTATATTGCAAACATTTGCATAATTTTTTAAAGTCATTATTCAATACATTGTTATTGTTAACCCTTTAAAGCCTGTCAGAGCAGCACGCTCTGTTTTGTGTAACTATGTTTAAATCCCTGTAGAACCTGAACCATGTAAGCTAGCGCAATAATTATTTTGCATATGAAACTTACATCTCATGCCATCAGCTTGTCCTCGGTCACGGTTTCCTTCCATAAAAAGCGCTTGCAGGAACAAAAACATAATATTCCAGAAACACGCTTTGCCGATCCGATCAGCTGTTCGTAACACTTCCCACAGTGAAACAGACGTCAGCGCGAACTATCGCATGTCCGCCATTTCCTGCCCGAAACCGGAAGTGACGTCATTTTCGCGGAAAATGTAGTTTTTTACTTGTAGGCCTTAAAAGCCTATACTGGTGTTTTTATAAGTCATGTTTGACTTTTCTGAATAGTTTCTGGGATGCTTAGAACTCAAATTGCACTGCTGGAAATAGTTTATTTTGATGCACATGCTGTTTTCTTTGCAAATTTGCATCATAGGATTGTTTTTTTGTTTTTCCTGCAGTATATAAAAATTGCTGTATCTCCAAAATAAAACTATGAAGACACTCAAAATAAATTTCCTGTTGTTGTAAACTATTTTTTGCAACTTTTTTGTATTTAAAGTTTTGAGGGATAAACCTCTTAAATTTCTCCAAGTAGAAATATATGTAAAAAAAACCAAAAACGATTTTCAATTTTTTTGTAGTTTATTGCACTTTTTTGCAATTAATGTAGTTACTGTGGACTTAATGAATACATATTATTAAAATATGGGCTATAACAGTTGTATTGATGTGTAGCAACTTGAAATGCTCCCACAAATGGCGCTACAACATGTAAAAAAATAATATAAGCTCTGGCGGACTTGGTTCTATAGTAGGTCTTAAAGGGTTAAATATCGTCAAATAATCGAGATCTCAATTTCAGTGAAAATAATCGTGATTATCATTTTTGCCATAATCGAGCAGCCCTAGTCAGTAGTTATTTTTAGTTTTCCAGAACTACTTGCCTCGCTATGAATGTGCTTGACTTAATACTAATGCTAGTCAGTAACACTCCTCAGCAGTTCATCTGAAGCT